TGATCTTTYGCCTTCATGAAAATGCCTGGAGAGGCAGTGTCTGAGTTTTATGTGTATAATAATAGAGGTCCTAAAATATGGACCCTAGATCTTTATTCAAAGTAATCTATGTCAGTTTATCATTTAATTTGATCTATTGCTTTCTGTAGCTCTGTAATTAGATAGACTTTGGGATATCCTTATTCAAATGAAGCCATTTATTTATTCTTGAAAAAAAAGAGTTCTAGTTTTGTTAAAATACRGCCAGCTCTGAGGCCATAATTTGAGGCTTTTTATTTCATTGGTCCCCTGCTCCAGATTAAAAAATAGAGAACTTCAAAACTTGTATTCCTTTTTCATGCCTCAATAATAATAAACCTTTCCTTGCTGAACTCTTTGCAGCAGAAAAGATAATGTGACATGGCAAAACAGCTTGGAGAACAATTGCGAACAGAGAGAAATCTTATATGGTGCTAACTACTGAAAACATTCATGTAATAAAGAAGCAAGGACAAACAGGTGAAGGAGAGGTCCTTCCAAAATCAGATTATGCAGAAATGCATGAGSTGATGAAATTAAAAAAACATTTAGTACAGCATTGAGCAGAAGACGAAATGCAAACGAATTCTGGGATGCATAGATAAATAAATGTGTCAAAGTGAAGACAAAGCAAAAAGCATTAGCACTGAGTTAGGGTAGGTAGGAGCAAAGTGGCAGTGCCAACCATACCATCAGTCAATATGCGGAGCATATAGAGGAAGTGTGGAGGAGATGAAGAGTAAGAATGGAAAACAAAGTCTAATAGACCGCATTCGTGTACCTGTAGGGCATTCGTGTACCTGTAGGAAAGGAAGAAGTTTTTGGCAAACATAGCAAAAAGAATTAGTACCATGACGTCTGTCATATCTGCAGATTTTCTACACATAAGAGTCTGTCAGCCCAGGCTAACAGGGGATGTCTTTGCATTATTCCGAACCCGGGAACTAGCTGGAAAAACTGRAAATTGAACATATGCCTCTCTTCTTCTAAGGACAATTAGATACATCTGTTTAAGAAGTGAATGGAAAATTATGATTTTCTCTCTTCCATAATAATTTCTTAAGATCAGCCTGTGAGCCAGCTATTAAAGTGCTTCTCCTTCTTAAAAATATTTTGAATAAATGTAAACATATCATAATACTTTTAAATATTCACTGTCTCAATTTCATATCACTCAGAGACAATAGAAGTACACGCTACTCCATCTTTTAGACCTGAGTGTAAGGAGAGAAATAAATGATTTTTTCAGTATCCCCCAATGCATCAGTGACAGTGTTGAGCACATATTGCTGCTCAGTAGTGAGAACATATTCTAGTGAGAACTTCAAGGAAAAGAATTGGACACTAGAGATTAGCTGGTATTTTTTGTTGAAATGAACAACAAACTCTTCTTTGCATAAATATTCATGAATTTGCTACTTTTCCTTCTTTTTTTTTTCTGTAAGAGGTCATAAAAATCTATAACCACTCTTTATTTCTCCAGAGAAAAAATAGATGAAAGGAAACTTCTTCCTCTTTCATTTCTTTCCTGACAAGATTTGGAAAATTATACCTATATCTATAGATTTGGCAATTGTATCTAATTCTAATTAAGCATGCATTAGTTTTAAAAATGAAACACAATGTGGATGGTCTCATGGTTGACAGCAGTGTAAGAGAACACTGAGAACAGCTTTATTTCTTGCTTACGAGGGCTAGAATGATTTCTGCAGCTGTCATATTCCTGTGGTTTAACGGAGGGACATGCCAGACCTGGACCACCACCTGATCCCTCTCTATTACAAAGGAAAGAGAGCATACACAAGAAAAGGAACCCCAAGCCTCCTTTGCAGGCCTCACTTTGATTACTTAAATATCCTCGCGAATGCCTATGTACTCTAAATGATTCTTATGGATTGCATAGGTATATTGCAGCTACCAGTACCAGATTTGTAATACATACTTTGGAGTTAAAAGCATTCACCATTAGAATTTACGCTCTATAATCATTTCTAGCAACAGCATCTAAAAAAAGGCAGCCACAAGAAATACCCTCCAATGGGAAAAACAGCGATGTAACCATTACCAAGAAGCCTGAACAACTGTTATGTTTGCATTTGGAACTGGGTGATTTCCAGCTTGGGCAAATGCTACCATATGGAAGGACTGGCTCCTGTGGATAGTAGCCCGATGCTGCATCTTTGACCAACTGGAGTGTAACCATTYGGACAACTGGGACACTATAGAACAAAATGGAATGCAAGCCACTAGATTACATCATAGCAGTTAGTCTACAACCTGAAAGTTCACTGGCAGCAGTGAAGAGCTTAGTGTAGAGAGTAGATTGTGTCATGCACTCTACCTTGGATTCCTCACAGAGCTATCAATAATTTACTAAAGGTAAACACAGATATTGATTTTTCATTTTCTTACATAAACAATAACAGCTGGAACACCAGACAGACAAGATAAAGGCCTTTTCCTGAAAAGAMCCATAACCACATGAATATCTGCTTGTACTTGGGTTTGCTTGACGAAGCAAAGCTGTGTGATGCTTCAGAATGCAGCTGTCTGAGACTGAGTCCAACTGAGATAAAGAGGATTCTATTAGAATTCACAGTTTTACAAGTTTTCTGCGAATGAGGTTCTTGAAAGCATCAGAAGTCACAATGACTCAAAAAAAACCCCAGACAAATAAACAAATGAGGTAACAGTTTTCCATCATCTGACTTTTAGAGTTTTTGCAAGATTATCTCAATAAGGTGTCCTCGCTCAGCATCAGGTAATGCAGGATCTACAGCCAGGCATAACCACTTGTCTGAAGGGTGTCACACTAYGTTGCCAGAGTTTGGTGAAAAGAACTAAAATGTGAAGGAGGAGTATGACTAACTTGGGGTCAAAGGAAAGAGCAGAGAAGTATCTAAGAGCTCTGGGAGTGAAACTGTCTGCATTAATCTGTCAGAAGTGTGTGGACATACAATAGGGAATCTTTTGGAAAAGGTGAGTGCTCCAGTGCGTACAYTGAATTTTATGAAAAGAGATTAGGCACTTGATAGCATCTTCCGAAAGTCATGTTTTGAGATATTGCTAGTGATTTCTGGTCCTTAAGTTGCTTGGTTATACAAAATCCTTCAGAAATTATCCTTTAAAAATAATCAGCTGATGAACTGATATGCAGGGTGTCTGTTGGATAATTTGTGTCCTCGTTAGGCAGTGCTTCTAGAGACCTTTTCCATTCCAAGTCCGTTAGGTTAATATTTGTGCTAAGTAAGAATGACAGTTCTTGACTCCAGCACTGTACATAACCATTAGAAAAAACAATTCAACAAGGCGTCGACGAGCTTACAACTTAGAGATGCCAAATGAAGTCATTAGAGTTGTCAGTCAGTCTGGCACCACTCTTCTGATTAGCAGCTTTCCTTATTTGGACAGGAATCACCGGACAATTCTGTGGTTTAAGGAGACTTAGCTGTAACCAGATACTACTCCAACAATTTCTGGTTAAAAAATAACTCACCTTATTTTAAGGACATGCAGGGAAAGAGCATTCTGACCTACTTCGGACAGGAAGCTAATCATGACTTCTTTCCTTCTGACCTTTTGGAATGAGCATGAATGTTCACCCATGATGAAGATAATGGAAGAAAATATGTATGAGAATGAGTCACTGAAATTTTTGTTCAGAAAGCAAGATCCAGGATCCCAAGAGAATTTATTTATAGCCTGAGCAAACTCAGTGGAGAGTTTCAGGAGGACAAATGAAACTGTAGGAGAAGCTAAAGTAATGAATAATGATAACTCAAATATGTTATTTCCATCAAAAGTAACCATATTATGGCAGTGAAACTGCAGAAGAGCTGAGACGATTTTAGTTCTGTGGAGCCCTGCAAGAAGTTTCAAATACACCTTGGAGAAAGGTTGCCTTTCACTCACTGCCTCCATCTCCATCTAAGCAGTGCAGTGCACATGTAGAACAGAAACAGGTACAAATCTGGAGAATATTTGGAATATTATGGTCTGCATCCACCTCCATATCCATATCACACTTCCATATCTTCCATATCTGTCTTTTTCTCTAGTCTCAGAAAGTAATTTAGATTAAATCTGTTGACATATATGCAAGGAAAAAAAGTATGCACAATTACAAGCATTAGATCAGTCTGCCTCAGTGTAATACATCTGCCAGGATCATCTTGAGCGTGGTCATAAAGTAACTGGATCCAGAAAATAGACCCTGAACTTCTCCAGAGCTGATGCACAAGAGGAAAGTGCCAGTCACACACACTATTGAACTGAGGACAAACACCTGCATGACTTAATGGGAATGATTAGCCTGTGTGTCTATGCAACTGCAAGGCACTAGAGTTGGCAGCTGTGTGGTGGGCACTGAAGAAGAGCCCTCAGGCGGTGGTCTGTGCTCAGCAGACTCATATGCCAGTAACGGCAGTGCCCCCTACCCACCACGTCCAGGCTCGGGTGGAGAGGCAGCGTTGCCCACCAGGTAGGACCCTGCCGAGCACGGTGCCTCTAGTCTGAGCTCTTCAAATGGACTGCTAAGGGGATTTAGACAAGTCATGCTCCCTCCCAGTGCCTCGGTTTCCTTGCCTTTCTCCTGGAAATGCTGATGCCCTTCTCTTAGGTAAAACACCTTCAGACATTTGCCTGAAAAATGATGTATCAGAAAGATACTACTATTAGCTAGGAGGAAAATACAACTGTATTGAACACAAAAGCTTTCCCCCTTCCCACTTACACATATATTTATACTTATATGCATGCACTGCCTCTTCAGTACAAGTGTGATATTCTCCTGTTTATACTTACGGTCATGATTCCTGTCTTTGCTTCTGCTAGAGTGAATCTTTCACAGAGGCTGTATAGCCCTTTACGCATACTAACAGGGTGAAGCCTCTGCTTCTGTTGTGTGACTCTGAGGCWATTGCAGAGAGAAATAACATCGATGTTTAAAAATAAATGAGTAACCGCGAACTTTAGTGATGTACCTGGCTCTCTGATGTCCTCCAGTCTTGGAAAAATGGATCGCTTGCAAATACAACTTGGGTCTTTTGGTGGTGGATGGATCGGCTGCAGCGCATGCTCTTGCTGGCTGTAGCAGGAGTATTTTTGGAATGGATGAAGGGGTGATTCTCTTGCCTTGCTTTGCACGTCACTGTGATCTCAGCGCTGCTGAATATACGATGCGTCTCCAACTGCAGGACTTGCTCACAGCAGCAGTGTGATGAGAGCAAAGAAATACAGGTAACTCCCAAGTAGTATGAAATAGCTCATTTTTTCACTGTTTATTGCTGGGCTGTACCATAAGCAATTTTGGTATGTCTGAAATATAAACTGTCTCTACTTAGCAAATATTTTACAGAGATGCTAATCAGAATTTTCCAGTGAAATAGATTTTCTTCAGGAACTGGGGAAAACTAGTATTTTGTTTGTTTGTTTTGTTTTTTTTTTCTTTAAGACTGAAGAAGTTGGAGAGCTAGATTAATAGTTACCTGTGCGCAGGAATATGGGAAGGGCTGTACGGGAAAGGGCCGGTGACACTTCCAGAGATGCTGGAAGCTGCTGAGCTGTGATCRGAGCAAGAGGCAGAGTGACAGGCGCTGCTGTTGCTCACTTAGCTTTGCCATAAGGTCGCCCGAAGTGTCCTGACAGCAGCAATCTGCTGTGTCTTGAGGAGGAGCCCCTGCCAGCGTCTCTTTTCTTGCTCATGACACAGCCACCTGAGTGAGAGCAGGTTTTCAGGGATTCCCTTGTTCCAGACTGTTCCTGCCTCCACAGGACACACAGAAGAAGCCGTCAGTCAGAATATATTTGTTTGTGCAGGTACACCAAAGAGCTGGGARAGGGACTGTTAAACAATCTTCAAAGCATTTCTGCTTATTTTAAATTAAATTTAAGAGAGTGATTCAGGAAGGTAGTTTTGTGCCTTTTGTCTTTGCACAGAAAGCAACATTTGCTTGATATCTTTGCCCAGAAAGCAACATTTAAATAATGACTTCTGCTCAGAGACAAGTTCACAGGGATATTTACAATATTTGCACACTGGCTCTCCAAATCAATACCGARACAAATGATTTCTTCGAATTTCTTYGTTTTCTTTCAACTCACTGCTATAAGCATATTGTAATAATCAGTGTAGGGGTTATTGCAATAACCACTTGAAACTGTTGTTGGCTTTAAGTGACAAACTGAACTACTGAACAAAATCTTGTCTTTACCAGCTAAATCATCCCCATCAGCAGCGCAGCCCTGAAACTGTCACCGCGGGATGATGTTTAACAGGCGCCTTCACTTCTCTGGTGGGAAACTTCTCATGGCCCGTTAATCTGGACTTGGTTGTTGCCGAAAGTCTGACAACAGCCTTCTAATAGCTGCGRTTTTGAATGACAGCCCAGGCAACATGACTGCAGCAGCCAGGGAAGCACTAGGACAAGCAACTGTGAACATGTGCTCAGCAAATTAAGAGGGGCAGTAGGTTAATTGTTCCTTATTATGATAAAAGTKCATTATTATAAGTTGTGAGCTCAGAAGCAGAAACACAGTATAATTTGCAGATTCATGTGTGAATTTATACTAAAAATAGTAACAAAAATATTAAATATTGCACAGTGATTATGTTTGATTTTGAAATTTTTGGAGATGAGTAAGTGCGGGACCTCATCACATTTTCATGACTTTAAAGGCACATTCACAGTTTCTGAAGTTTTGCTTGTCCTGAGCTGATATTTGTCCTTATTAGTCAAGAGTCTGAAACTACTTTACAAACATTAATAAGCACATAATCACAAAACATACATCCTTAGCAAATATATAGGAGGCAGTGAACTGAAAAACAACTGAAAAAAATAGCCAAGTTGAACATATTCTGGATATGTAGGACCAAATTGAACATATTCTGGATATGTAGGACTGCATTAGATTGAAATTACTACAAGTTTAGTAATAAAGTACTATGCAGGGACACAGACAGGAACAGATCTTCATAAGTTAGTAAAATAGATTTATTCTAATTGTCTTCTTATTTATTCTATCATGTTTTTCCAATGAAATTAAAATGAATGATAGCTTTGTAGAATTCACCTTGGTGGCATTTATTCATAGGGAACTGGGCTATACAGAAACTGCTGAGATGAGTGCTGCAGTTCTCAGTCTGGTCGCAATTTGCTGCTCTTCCCTGTTGAGTGGCTGTGAGGGCTGCGGCTCTCAGCGTAATCACTTTGGGCTTGGATATAGAGAACCAGAGCTTTGGCAGTGGAGATTTAGAGCAATCTGACCTGAAATGATCTTGTGAAAATGACAAGATTTGGCTTAAATTTGTGGCATTCTCACAAATAGCAGTACAATCACATACTTTTGATTTTGCTTTGAGATGTATTTAGAGCAACTTATAGGAAAGCCTGATTATTCGTTAATGTTGGGACTTATGGACACTCATCCTAAATAAATTCTTTACCTTTCCTAAGACTTTTATAACTGCATAATAGTCTCCAATTTTCCAGGTAAATCGCTAGCCCTGTAAATAAATGAAAATTTCATGGAATTAGTTTTTTAATAATAAACAAAAAAGAAGTAATGGGGTCAGAAATAAAATGCTTCATTGCAGAACAAATCAATAATGAAAACCTTTTTTATCAGCTATTTCATTTTTGTTGTGCTGCTATCATTGCACTATTAGAGTGGGTTTTTTTTTCTTTTTATGCATAGCCACATTTTGCACAAGTCAAATTTGCCCTCCATTTCGGAACACACAAAGCTTTTTTATGCCTCTTTGATCTTTAGTATATTAGCTGAAAACACTTTCATAAGAAAAATAGATCTCATTAGTGTACTTTTATCTCCTAGAAAGAATATACTGGGTTTTTTTTTTTTTTGCAGCAAATGGACTTTTCCTATTTATTGAAAATAATGTTTTACTCCTACATATATGAAATTAGTTAATTGAACACAATATCTTCAACTAAATAATTGGATTAGTTTCTATTCTACTCATAAATGTTATCAAGCCATATACTAAAATGCATGAAAATAATTTTTACATTTAAAATGCATTTTAAGGAGAAAAATGAGGTTGTTATGTGTTAACTGTTTTTCTTGCTGCCCTATCAGGAAAAAGCCGATATTYAGCTAGCAGAATGATGGTAAACTTAATGAAGTTGATCATCATAAAGGGCAAAGTCTTTTAACAACTAGGAGTAAWTAACAATGCCATTTATTTCTGACTAACACGTAGATGTGTGCTTCATTCCTCTCTTCTTTATTGTCACCTATATGAGAGCAGTTGGTTGAAGCCAAATAGTCACGGAACAATCTTCACAGATTCCTAAATAGGAAGCGGTCTTGAAGAGGGGGTGGCTTTGGAACCAGGGTTATTCCTCCCTCTGTGCCGCCTCTGTGCAGATGCAACGTTTCGCCTATGATGATTTCAATGTTGCTTCTAAATTCTACATTTAGAGGAGACAAGAAAAAAAGAATCCGTATGAATAAAGAATTAGTGTTCCTCTATGCTCCCATTCATCGACGTCAAAGAAATCACATTACACAACATGAAAGTAGATATAATAAATGTAAAGACTTACTAAAACAGCATTCAAATATAACATTAGCACGATATCATATACATGGTAGCACTTTTTTATGTATCTCTAAATGCTTTTTAAAAATCAGTTTAAATTTGCAATGCACTGTTTAGTTCTTTCTTTGTTCTTTCTTTGTCCTCTAGCTCCGTTTCATCATTTCTACTAAGTTTTTGTTACTCAGCATATCCTTATATCCTTTACAAGCTATACATATGTATTTCCTGCCTCACAGACTTGGATGAATATATGCAAAGCATTATTAATGTTCTAGATTAGAAGCAACATTAGCATTTCATGTCATAATATTTATTTTTTGTTAAGCATTATGCCAGCTGTCCCATGTTTCATAGAGGTTTAAGTAACAACATGCTATGTCATCTCTAAGTACTTTGATGACGTATTTGCTTGACAGAAGCAGAATTTAAATTCAGCCGGATATCTCCGGAATGGTCTGCTTCGTTTGCAGTGATCCAGAGGATACAGTGCGGAGTGCTGTTTGTTGGCTTTAGTAGGGATTTGCTAAGCCTGCTACTTGAATCTATCTGGGGATTTCAGCTGATTGACCCACAGACCTGCTGAGGAAGGCCAGCCAAAGAATGAGAAATATTTTCAAGAACTCTGCCAGTGCTGCTGAAAGAGGTGCCCTGCAGAAGCATTAAGATTTCTGATTGACAGGCGTGTAGGATATAAAAAGTTAGGGCCTCAGATTTCTGCTACTTACTCAGAATACCTAGGAGAGGAGCTTGGCAAAATTTGCAAGAATTGGAGTCCCAAAGGGCACAATCCTCCGAAAGCATCACGTGCCTCATGGCAAGGAATAGTCCCCATTCTCTTGCCCTGCCTATATTCACTGAGCCAGATCAGAGTGGAATAAGCTGCCTGTGTAAGTCTGAGCCAAATCAGAGCTACCTGCCTACAGGTATTCAGGCAAAATCTGAGTCCAGGGCCTCTCAGTCTGAGTCTGTAGTACACTGTGGCAGCCTTGATTGCCTAAATCAGCTGCGTCCGCAGCCTGCACAACAAAATCGGATGCACTTTGGAAGAAACCATCAAACAGGCTCCACAGATCCTGGAACTAGAATTGCTGGAATTAGTGCGTGGAGCACTCGAGGTCGTGAGGCAATGACAGCTTTCTGAGCACAGGGAGGAAGGCTGGCAGAAACTGAGGTTACTTAAAAAGTGCCGCCAGAAACAAACAACTGCGTCACTTCATACATTTGTTCCTATAACTTATGAACTGTCTCTTGCTTCCTTTCCTAAAGCTCCAAACATAACTTAATGAAATTAGTTCAAGTTTATTGCCCCCCTGAGGTTGAGCTTCTCCAGACATTGTTTCATTCATGCTTGTACCCATTTTGTGCTGTAAGGACTACGATTTTCTTTCCTATTACTCCAGTCAAGTCATGTCTGCATCAAGCTGGTTTAACACAGCTGTGATTTATGTCTGATGAGGAG